TGACAGTGTATGATTTCTATTAACATTACAGAATAGAACATGATCAATATTATCTTTCAACGTTCAATTTAAATAACTAATTGCACGAACTATGAAGGCTACAATTTCAGTTTGTTTATTGTGAAATAACTCTGTCCTTCTGTCCTCTGATAAGCATTGTTCAGGGCTGCCGTTCCCAAAAGCTTTAATGCTTTCTTATCATACTTTTGGGAAAAGCAGCCCCGTTTGAATGCACTGTCAGAAGTGAGTGAATGCTCTCTTTGATGGATTGGTTCTGTCTTGCAACATTTGCGTGTCCAGATGAGCAGGAAAATAGTTATATCCTACACAATTACTCGCTAACAAAGGTTATTCGTCCAATTCAATGCATATTGTACGCATTATTATTTTGTTGTTGTTGTTGAATTAACAAAATCACTGGTAAATAAAACACACCTTAGTATCAATATTTTTTGTTTGAGTATCGATACTTTCGATACTCACGTAGTATCGATATATCGATACTTTGGATCGATACGCCCATCCCTAGCTGCCGATTGAAGAACGTCAGTGAATGAAATGTCACAGTTTTGCATTGTGCTTTGAAAAAACGGCAGCGAATAGCCTAGATTTATGCTTTTGGAACAGAAATCTTATACAGTACAGTTTGTCGATCTAAAATGGTGATTAACAGCTGTCAATCATGTCGGTACGCAAATGCGCTGTCAGAACTTTTGTCATAATCGAGCAGCTCTTGTCTATCATCATTTATTCCTTAGTTAATGTTTGTTTGATTAGGTTCCTCAGAAGGAAAAATCTGACAGTATCATAATTTTTACTTCTGTCCTTATCTTTTCAGTATGGGCGGTACATCAGAGCAGTGGTTAGACAGGAGCACAATTTTGTGCAGACTACACTTTTATTTGTTAGTCTATCTCTTTCAGTAGCGGAAATTTACATGTGAGATTCTGGAAACGAGATCTAAATTTAGCGGGAACGGTCGGGTCGGGAAGAAAATTATTCTAAGCGGACAGTGGGTGAACAAAGAGTGAATATATAGCGGGAGCGGGTGGGTGCGGAATAGAATCTTGCGGGAGCGGGACTAAAAAAAACAGTCCCGCGCAGACTACAAGCGACACGCAACAGCAAAGCGTCACAATCCTATATTCATTTCAATGGAGAACTGGCGATTTCCGGCGACACGAGCGACAGCGGCAGTTGGCGACCGGATGGGGCGTGTCCAGCGCCGCGACAAAGTTCAGAATCCCAACTTTATGCAAATGAAGAGAAACTTTCGGGAGCGACAGCCAATAGGAAAGAAACACCTTAGTATCGATACTTTCGATACTCGCGTCAGTATCGATATATCGATACTTTGGATCGATATGCCCATCTCTACTGGCGACATGCAGACAAAAGTCACTGCTAGTGTGAACGGGGCTTAAAGGTGCAATGTGTAATATTTACATCGATCTATTGACAGAAATGCAATATAATATACATAACTATGTTTTCAGAGGTGTATAAAGACCTTACTTAATGAACCGTTATGTTTTTATTACCTTAGATTGAGCAATTTATATCTACATACACCACGGGTCCCCTTACATGGAAGTCGCCACCATGTTTCTACACAGTAGCCCTAAACGGACAAACTGCTCTACACAGCGCGTTTCGTCACTTTGTTGTTCTTGCGAATAAAACACTGACACAATGATGAACAAGTACATTAATATTCACAATAACATCGATTTATTAAATAATTAAGTAAATATAATTCCTTAATTTACCTTTGTAAAGAAATCTCATTGCTGGGGGGGGGGGGGGGGGGGGGGGGGGGGGTTCCCGGACAGAGATTAAGCCTAGTCCTAAACTAATAGCCCTTTAAACCAGATTAACAGAAATCTGCTTTCTCTGTCATGATGGAGCAGGTAGTCCGAGCTGTTGTAACTGAGTGGAGGGGAGGACTAATTTGCATAATCATGGTTGCATGTACACTAAACATAGACTGTATGAGGTAAGGATGTAGAGCTACATTGAAGTAATTTTAAAGTAATTTTAAACTCTTTTACAAAGTCTTGATTTTGTTTTGGGGGTGTACTAGAACAGGCTCTCATACTCGGTTGTTCGAAAAACACATTATTTTTCACATATTTTACATTATTACAGCACCTCTCTCCCCAGTCTGGCATGAACGGCTCGAATAGTTCCTGTATCAAATGAAGGCCCGCCTTCTGAAATACGAAATGTGCTGTGATTGGTTAGCTGGGCCAGTGTGTGTTGTGATTGGCAGCACTCGGCGCCTGCTCGGGAAATGTCATGCCCCTTACCATAGCCGCCTGCGAGCTTCAGTGTAAATATTGTGTGAATATCAAATCAATTTGAGCGCGATTTAAACCCGGATGATTGTAACCACTCTAAATTCGTCTGCCTTGGGAAAGCTAGCGTGTCTCTTTAAGGCATTTAGAAATTATTTCATGAGAAAAAAATGTTTAAATGCGTCGTTTTCTTTATCAACGATGAGTTTTAAGGGATAAAAATAGTGACTACATGGGGACTACATTCAGTCATACAGGTTTATGAAAGAGCATAACTACTGTAGATGATTAACAAAACGGTGGTGTTAACTAATTCCAGCTACTGCATATAAGAGTATTTTATAAGCTTAATGTATTCCTTTAATTCTTTTATAATCATAACGGTCTAAGAAAAGGTCTTCATCAAGCACAGGCTAACTAATGCAATAAGCCTACAGTGCTTGTGCAGTGTCGTGCGGAGGGTTGAAGGAAATCTATGGGGTTCTGTCACCTTGAGCAAAGCTTTTGGCGTTCCTGTGGTCCTCCTTCACTCTGCCAATCATGTCTGACAGGGCAATCTTACCAGCTGCTGCCAAGACACCCGATTGGCGCATTCCACCACCAAGTGCCTTGCGGGCACGTACTGCTCTCTGTATGAAATCTTTTGAGCCACCTAGCATGGTGCCCACAGGTGCCCCGAGTCCCTGCCAAAGAGCAAATCAGATCAGATTTCCAGCTCTTCACTTAGAGAAAACAAAACAGTTAGTATGGTACAGTTCAGATATAATTATTGTATAGAACATCTTTTTGTGTTAAAAAAAATGCTTTAATTCGCCTAAAAAGTTCATTACATAATTTTAAAATGTTATTTTATTCCCTGAAATAGTGTTATTTTAGTATCTTTTATATACTATTACAATATTTATTATTATTTTGAAATGGCTTTTATTTTTATTTTCAACTAATTTTAGTTGAAGTTTTAGTAATTGTGTTATGTGCTTTTGCCACTCATTATTTTTTTTATATTTCTATTTAGTTTAATTCCTTTTTTTTTTCAGTTTGAGTACTTTTAGTATTTTCAGTTAGCTGCCAAGGCTACATTTTTTCCCCCCCAAGTTTAATTATTTTAATATTTTAATAAGTTGTTTTCTTGCCAAAACAGTCAATTTAGTTTTTCATGATCATTTTCCACCCTCTTTAAAAACTGGCATTTTTTCAAATAAGTAACATTTGGTTGGTCATGTGATCTTAACATGTTGGCTCCTATAAGGCAACCTACTCCACTGGTGGTGGTTGAGGAGAGACCCCCCATATGATTGTAAAGCGCTTTGGGTGTACAACAATACACAATAAAAGCGCTAAATATATATAAATGCATCATTCATCATTCATTCATTCATGTAAAATAAAACCTGTCCTCTGTGAACACCCCTGATATGTCTTACAGTCCTATTTGCATTTATGAATAAAGTATGATGTACACTACACAGCATAAACGACAACCTACAAATCATTCAACTATAATCACTGAAGTATAAATGCATCAAGTATAATCAAACAGCTGTTATAGTATATGAGCATATGAGCAAGCACACGTTTATAAAGGACACCTGGATTATAGATGGTGGCTTTTTCCTTGAACGTCTGTAGTCAGGACAGGCAGAAGTGATTTGATATTCATATCAGCGGTCTTTGTCTATAAGCCTCAATTACATTTAATGTCTTTCAGCGGAAAAAAGAGGAAAAATCGGTGACTGAGAGTAGCCTATTTCCAGCTAGATTGTAATTAATGTAATTAAAATGCAAATACGCTTCTTGACATCTACTCCAAGGATTTTTCTGAGAGTTGAGAGTAATTAGGCTTTACTTCAGGGTCTCTTCAATCGACTTTGTGTGTATGTGATGATCTGAGTTGTGATGTTGAGTTCATTCTGTGGGGAGTAATGAGGAGGACATTTCAAATCCTAGATGATACAATATGATTACAGGTGTGTTATCAGAGGAAAGTACCATCACACTTTGATATGACTAAAATAAGACTTGATTATCTGGATGTGTGAGACACCTTCAGGGTGCAGGTTATAAAGCATACGAGCACTGACTGTAACATGGTCATTTTCAATGCTTCTCACTTAAACTGATTTCTCCTGCTTTTTGGTGGAAAACTACAGATTCTGTTTCTCACTGCCCGGGGTTGTTTTGTTAAAAATGACTGAAATAACTTTCCTGGAAAATTACTTTCTAGAGCATGAAAACTACTGCTTAGTTTATAATAAGTACATTTTTCCTATTATGAAAATCTCACTACTGTGTTCAAGGTGAACTTGTTGCTGCATTTATTATACAGTTTCAATTTTCAAATTATGTTCTCCTTTCTCTCACATAAAGATTTTATTTGTCTGCTGGCAGCTACAATAAAACAACCTACATTGTGCTGAAAGAAAGACTAGTCATTCCCAAAAATTAATCAAAATAAATATATACACAAATTTTTCTTCAGAAGTTTGGGGTCAGTAAGATTATATGTTTTTGAAAGAAGACTCAAAGGGTAGTAATACTTAATATAACTGTTTTCTATTCTAATATATTTTTAAAAGTAATTTATTCCTGTGATGGCTAAGCTGAATTTTTAGCAGCCATTACTCCAGTCTTCAGTGTTACATGATCTTTCAGAAATCATTCTAACATGCTGATTTGGTGCTTAATATTTTTTTCAGGATTCGTAAGTAGAACGTTCAGACGAACAGCTTTTATTTGAAATTGAATTTTTTTTGTAACTATGTAAACGTTTTTGTAACTTTGTCAGTTTAATGCCTCATTGTTGAATACATTTCTTTAAAAAATACTGACCCCAAACTTTTGAAAACTTTTATTCTATTTTAAATACTTAGTTGTACTAAATTTAACATGATTAAATAACATCTGTCCTATTAATATTTGATTAAATTCATATCAAACATTCTGAATTGTACTGAATGTAATATGTTATTGTAATGCATTACTTTTAAAAGTAACTTTCCCCAACACTGCGCGTGGCACATATAAACACTACTAGTGAAAAGTCTGAACATGCATTCTCACTTTTTAAAATATATTTAATAGTACAGTGATCAGAATTATGAAAAAATTAAGTATGGTAATTATGTATTGACGAAAAATAAAATAAAATAAATCAAAAGTATCTTGTATTTTAGTCTTTAACTGGCTTAACGGATGCGAGCGGAGCGCCCTCTCATGGCCATTACCAAAGGGGAGCAATGTTCTATTTACCACATGTTTTTATGGTTTTAACAGATGGAATCATAATTAAGCACATCTGGAACCTTTAAACTTATCAGAATAAGAGTCTGACCTAACAGAAGCACGCAACTGACTGTGTGTCAATATCTAACCATTAACCGTAGGGTCTTCTCCGAACACATCGTCTCCGACCTCTGCCTCTGCCATGGCTCTGCGCATGGCTGCTCCGGGTTTGGTGACGGTATCGCTGCGGAGGTCCACGGTGCGAACGGCTGATCCCGTCACCACCTGCGGGGACCCATAGTACAGTCGCGCCGGATCCACGTGAAAAACACGACGAGGTTTGTGGAAGCAGTAACAGAGTAAACGAGCTGGAATCGTTAGTGTTTTGGAGCTCATGTCTTCTTCTCCTTTGCACTGTAATGTAACGGTAACAGTGCATCAATTCACAGGACTTTACTGAACTTTGGTTTACTGTATTCGATAATCATTGATGTAAGCGGCCTTAAACTTACAGACGTGAATAATGGAACTCGCAGACATCGATCAGTTTACAGTAATCCTCTCAAAAGTACAAAACTGTTCGAGGTTGTTGAAACCTACTGAATTAAACCAATTCCAGTGTGCAGTTTGAGATGTAATATTGATCCTGGTGCTGTAGCCTGGACAAACCTTAGTGATGGCCAGGGAAAAAACACAGTATGCCTTTATTTAATAAGTTGACTAAAGTTATATTAACTTTGTCCACTTGTAGGCGCTCACGTGTAACATTTGTGGAGGCTTAGCCCTATCAACAGTTATTGAGGACAAAACATTAGTTTGTGATTTTTATGTAGTAGACAGTATATTAAATTTTCTTTGCTTATCATATTATACTTATCATACAGTGACCAGACAGTATTTGGGCACATAATCCACACACAAAATAGCACTGCATTAAAAATAAGGTGCCATTTATTAGCACAAGCACATCTTTAGTCATCAAATTATGTGGAAAATATTTTTCAAGTTAATGTGATGAACTACATCTATGGTTTCTTTACACCTCTGTGTAAACTTGAGGACCTTCAGGAAACTAACATAGTTCTGAGAAAAGCTCTTGCATCATTTGTTTGCAGATGCCATATTGTGATATTTTGTATGTAATGACGTTTAAGTGTGACTTTTGGGATATTTTTTTAATGCTCACCAAGGCTGCATTTTACAGTGAAAATAGTAATATTATGAAATATTATTACATTTTAAAATGTAATTCATTCCTGTGATGGCAACCATTTTCATATAAAAATGAAATTATTCCAAACATTTGGTTGTGTGTGTGTGTCTGTGTGTGTGTCTGTCTGTCTGATATATAAATATATCTATCAACAAGTTTACTGTTTAAATTGAAAGAAGTTTACTGTTTAAAATAACACAATTAAACAAGTTTATTGTTTAACATTAGAAAATCATTTGAACAAAATACATAGCATATTAGAACACAATGCAATTAATACACACAAGACAGGGACAGATCTTAGACATCTTGATGGCATATCATGCTTCTAACTCATGTGTAACTAGAAACAGTTTGACTTTGATAACAGTACATCCGCCTCCAGATGTGCAGTCATTTAGTCACAACATGCATGTTTTCTGAGTGACTGCATGACTTATTGCTCCCTAGTGTTATATGTAGCCACTAAAATATCCACATCCCATTAAGGCTGTTAATTGTAAATCAAAAATAACATAACAACTGGTATGTCAGCATGGCTCCTAATTCCACTTGATACTTGAGTGTCATGCTCGCATGCTCAGTGCCGCAAGTAACACGATCTTATTTACACTCGCTGCACTCAGACCTGAAAGGCCTGTCCACCCCGCTGCAGTGATGTCATATGGTCAGCAGCGGAGGTTTCCTGGCCTTTACTGGCTGTGTTTCCAGCAGCTGAGCTCTGCCAGGCCGACTCTAATAAAACCCTGCGGGAGGTGTCAGGAGAGGTTGTGAAAGTGAGTCGAGCAGCTGTCAGGGTTTCCAGTAAGAGGCAGGAGGGTGGGGGCAGGTGAGGGCTGGGGTGTGCCAGATGGCACCTGATTCTTACATTATATTCAAATGAGTGCATTTGTCATCCATCCCGTGCCAGACTGCTCTGGCTGTGTAGGGCATGACTTGTGGTGCAGCAGAGAGATCTGTGTGTGGCGAGAAAACAACCATTGTGATTTCTTGTGCATTCCGTATGTTTGAATTACTTCTCAGTTTGAGTTAACATAACCTTTGAGGTTAGTAAAGGGATTCTTGACATATGAGGAGATTGTTTGGAGAGTTCAAACTCTGTTATGGTCCATGGGCTGATGTATTGTTGTTTGATGGCGGTAAAAATGGATGTCATATATCACAGAGTGTCCACTTAAAAGTGCTAAATAAACATGCAAAGTGGGATTGTTTTTAGGCACAGCACGTTTAATGTATCAGCGTGTGTCTATATATTTGTCCTTTACTGCAGCTGCTGGATTAGTGCCCGTAAATGAGCTGCATATGATTTTTTTTCTGGTGTGTCTGAAGAAACAGCTCCCTGTTGTGAGAGAAACCGTTGCAGTAAGAGGAGGGTTTACTGGAAGTCAGTTTGAAAGAGTTCCCTTCATTCTTCTGTTTTTTTTTTTTTTTACCATGCTAAGATTCTCCTGCTGATTGCATTGCATATTTCCCCGACCAAAACTATGCACGCACAGACTGTATGTTATTGTAAATGCTGCATATTTACTCTAGTGGAGTGGGCTGGGAAAACGTTCTCTCAGGAAAACTCATGCAAGTGTTTAGATCAGCAATTTGTGTATTTTATACTTTTTATATACAGTACATGTTCTGGGGTTTTCGTGGCCATTTTCAGTTCAGTGCTGATAAGCACTGTGCATGCTGGCATTAGCTTTGTGTAAATATTGAAATGGTTTCCTTTTTGGAGTAGAGGCCAGCTTTTCTGGATCTTTCATAACAATGTCTGTCAGGAGTAAAAATTTTTTTTTTTTTTTTTTTTTTTTTATTAATTGTAATTTTAATACTATTTTCAAATATTGTTAGGTTTTTCTCACTTTTTCTCAATTTTACAAAAGTATTTTTAAATCAATTGTTTTTATGTGATTCCCCCCCCCCAGCTAGTTTTTTGTTTACTTTTCACATTTTACAAAAATGTTTTTATATGAATCGTTTCATTGTAGTTTTTTTTTTAAAGTGTAGTTTAGTTTTTGGTTTACTCTGGATAAGTTCTTTCAGGTTATGAAAATGTGTTCATATGAATCGTTTCATCATAGTTTTGTTTTGATTAGTTTTTTTTTTGTTTGTTTACTTTGCATATTTTGTTTGTTTACAAATGTTTTCAAATGAATTGTTTCCATCTAGGTTTGTTTAGTTTTTTGTTTACTTGGCCTATTTTCTGTATGTTCTGTTTTTCTGTCAGTAGTTTTCATCTTCTTTTTTTAGTTTACAATAATAATCCTCTTCTCACTCATAAGTACACCATTTATTTTTGAAATGCAGCTAATTTTGGCTAGTTTGTAATAGTGTTTGACCATACAGCCTTGACAGCTTGACACATAGCTGTCATCAGATACATCACTTAACCTAAAAAGGACAAAGCCAGATACGGCCTAGGGCTCATCATTTCCCGGTTTGAGACTTAAATGAAGGCACTAGCTAAACATAGAGTGCAGGATTTAGCACAATCATCACAGTACTGTGACATCACAGACCCTGGGATCTGTAGCTCTATTTTGGTGGTG